TTGTGCAGAGGTATCTGGGGTCTGCCAGCATGGAAAATAGCAACCCGTGTTTGCTGGATCCATGAAGTGGGGATAGGGATCCGTGACTGCAGTGGGGATAGGGACCAGTGACTGCAATGGAGCAAGCAGAAACATCCCAATAAATGGAAAAAACCAACCCCAGTCTGGAAAGAGGAGGGGAGAGGCAAGCTGGTATTTCCTGGCCCATTTTAAGCACTGAATATAACTATTTAGGAAAAATGCCTCCCGACACACTCAGTGGTGGAGACCCACAGGCATGCTGGGGCTGAGAACTTCCCTCTGCTCAGTGTGGAAGGGGGATGTGATCCTGCAGTCCCCTCCTGCAACTAGGACCCCACCACTTCTGCAGGTATTTTAGGTCTGAACATCTCAGTTTCGTCTGAGGAGAGAGGTGGGAGAGAAAATTAATGAGGGTAGAAAGCCATCAGCATACCTCTCCTCTGGATCAAGGGCATGGGTTTACACCCAGCAGTGGGGCCAAGATAAAACAGGGGCTTGAAAGTGCCTGTGATTGAGTTAAACGACAATTGAGTTGATTGAATTCTGGAAAAATATCATTAGTTGCTTAGTTTGTATCTCTTAGATCAAATGCATACAAAGGGACAAATAAATCAGCCTTGTTCCCTTTGCACGCAGAGGAGCTGCCTTAGCCCAGCCACAGCGATGCTGGGCTGGATGCTGGGCTGAAAGGCCCTTTCTCATGGGGGTTTCCTTAGGATGGATGACCAGCAAGGCCTTTTTTAAGCCACTCACAGATTCAGGACCTGTCCTTGCACCTCTGCTGGGTCCAAGCCCAGGACTGCTGGTGCCAAGCAGCTGCAGAGTTTGGCTGTGGCAGGGCCATGTGCTGGGAGGTGGTGAGATGCAACCAGTGTTTTCCAGCACTACCCTTTAAAGAAAAGAAAAGGCTTTCTCCATTAAGCTTGAAAGACAGCAGGGCAGAGATGCTGTTGATATAGATAAGGGTGAAGATCTTAGATGAATAATTTCATTGAAATCAATAAAATGGACTTTAATCAGCCTGGATTGATAAACTACCCATCTCACTGCAGTGGGAATAGGAAATGAATACATGGACTTTTTTTGCTATAAATATCAACAGTTTCATTGTGAGTGCTATAAATCATAATACTTCAGAGGGTTGTAAATTAAGGTTCCGTCTCTGTCTTGGCTTGTATAAACAGCTCTTGGCTGTAGTTTGAAAGCTTTGGGGAAAGAGCTGTGTGGTGGTAAGAGAAAATGTCATGCAGGGAATATGAGTGTGTTGGGGACTTCTGCAAACGTGATCCAGATCCTGAGAAAAATCAATGAGAAATCTCCCAGTGACTCAGTGCAGAGTCAGGCTTTACAGGGGGATGATTTTATATACCTGTTGCTAGCTACATGCGTGCTTCACCTGGCTGAGCAGAGATAACCCTGCAGCAGAAGGGATTGCAGTGGCAGTCACTGGGAATGGGGAGTTAAAGGGAACCAAGCTGGAAGATATCCCCAGGCCTCATTTTTCTCTCCAATGTCACCTCTTTTTCTGCTCATAAAATCTTCACTAGCAGCGTGTCAGAGCCCCATGCTTCCTCCTTATTCACAATTATTTGCAAGCTTCTTTGTGAATTGCACCCCAGGTTTATAAAAAGCTGAGGAAGGTGGCTGGAAACAGGGCTGGCTGAATTTTGATATTCACCCTCTGCTCATTAGTCATGCAAATCCTCAGATAATGCCTCAGGTCTGGCTTCTAGGTCACTAATAGTGTAGAATAGGCTGCAGTGCTAAATATTACAAGTGAAAGTGCAACTGAGGCATCCCTTGGGAAGGCAAGTGTGCTCAGGGTTTCATGTGGTACCAGTCGGTGGTGCCCAGGCAGGTTTTGGGATGATGGAAAGCAAACAGTGATGCTCTGAGCATGGGCAAGTGATAATTTGCTGGGTGTGCATCTCAGTTTTCACTGTTTCCTGTTCAGTTTTCCAGCTCTGTTTGTTTTCCTAGTGAGGTCCATAAATGCTGGAGGAAAGAGTAAAAATACTGACAATGAGACAGAAACATTTCCTCTAGACTGGTGGTGTTCATGTCATGCTTGGTGCATTTTGGAATCATGGTGGTGGCTGCACAACAGTGCATTCCCCAGTCAGTCCCTGCATGGGGAATGTCCAACTTTAAGACATGGTTGCTCCCAGTGAGACCGTTTGCTCCCCTGGGACACTCTGTGTGTGTGTATACATTGCACCCCATCAGTCTTCTCCCCTTGAATTATTAACCCACAACCTGCTCCTGGCCCCGTCTGGGGTTTGTTGACTGCTTAGCCTGCTGGCCAAGGTACAGGCCTCTCAAACTTTCCTAGAATTGACTTTCCTTGAACAAAAAGGGCTTCCCTGGAGCACTGACAGTACCTACGTGATGGGCTTGGCTGGCTAATACTCCAGGATTAGCAGAGGGACACTTTAAACCTCTGGCCAATGACAGATGTTTCCTACAGGAGACTCTTCAAGGACACCTACTCCAGTGTTGTTAGCTTTGTGATTGCCTGGATAAGGGGCTGGATCCTTCCCCCTCACTGCCCCACAGTGAGGATGGGACAAGCCCTATGAGGCTGCATAGGGGAGAGGAGTCATGGTGCTCAGCTGGGACCCCTACTGCTTTGCTATCTTCCTCCTGCTGCACGTGGACCAGATCCAGCCAAGTGGCAGGTCAGGATGAGCTGGGTCAGGGCTGGCATGAAGGTGATGCTCTGAACCAGGGTGTTTCCACCCTATAGTCTCCAAGCCACTCTGGTGCTCCTCAGTCTCCCACCCTGGTGTGGTCTTTGACCCAGCACAGGAGCCTGGCTGGTGGCACTTGGCTCAGCGTTCATAAAACATGGGAGCAAACAAAGGAATCTTCCATTTGCCAAAATACAAGATTGAGTCACTCCAGGGCTGGGAAAGACTCGCCCTAACACCCATCTTCAGGCTGCTGCCCCCAGGGTTGAACCATCTCTGATCATGTTGTCCTTGTCCAAGAACATGGGGTCATGTTAGGGAACTACCAGCTTGCAAACACCAGGAACCTGCTCTTCATCCCCTTGGGGTTTGCACTTCCTTGGAGGAAGTTTGCAGGAAGGGTGCCTTGGCCCACGTGCATGGGTGTGGGTGCAGCTCTGGCCCCGTCCCACTGTGCTGGGAGTGGGAGCCCAGCCAGGGCCAGCCTGTGCTCCTGTGCACCGGTCTGCACTCTCTGAATCCAGCTCTTTGCCCAGATGTTCCTGCCCCTTCCCAGCACTGAGCCTGCCCAGCGTGACTGTGCCGTGCACCAAGCCTGGACTCTGCTTCCTGACTCTATCAGTCCCACAACCTCCAGGCATGCAATCCCCAGCCACACATTTGCACTTGGAGCAAAGTGTTTTTGGGAGCATGGAGTTTGATCTTCTGTCAGCAGGAGACTAGAAAGCCATTGGGTCAAGTGGTGGGGAAGTGAAACGTCTCCAGTGCACACTGTACGAAGTTGAACCAGGTTTTAGTGCTAGTGGGTGCCCACAGGAACACTGATGTTTGCTCTGGAGTCTTTGGCACCAGGAGGAAATCCCTGGGTTGTGTCAATGTCAGCAAATAGCCATGGAAGGTGCTACCCTGGGGACAGGAGAGTCTCTGAGCTCCTTGG